TTGAACGCCTTGTCCTCTCCCATCTCAAGTCCTTCACCTCCCCCCTCCTGGACCCCCTGCAGTTTGCCTACATTAACCTGGTCCTCCACCACATCCTACAGCACCTGGACTCCCCGGGGACCTACGCCAGGGTCCTGTTCGTGGACTTCAGCTCTGCCTTCAACACCATCCTGCCATCCCTGCTCCAGGACAAGCTCTCCCAGCTCAACGTGCCCGATTCCACCTGCAGGTGGATCACTGACTTCCTGACAAACAGGAAGCAGCGAGTGCGTCTGGGGAAGAATGTCTCGGACTCTCGGATTATAAACACAGGAGCCCCACAGGGCTGTGTTCTTTCTCCCCTGCTCTTCTCCCTGTACACCAACCACTGCACCTCCAGCCACGACTCCGTGAAGCTGATCAAGTTCGCGGACGACACCACACTCATTGGACTCATCTCCAACAACGATGAGTCCGCCTACAGGAGGGAGGTGGACCGGCTGGTGTCCTGGTGCAGTGGTAACAACCTGAAGCTGAACGCCCAGAAGACAGTGGAGATGATTGTGGACTTCAGGAAGAGCACTGTCCCCCCGCCCCCACCCTCCCTGATGGACTCCCCCATCACCTCTGTGGAGTCCTTCCGTTTCCTGGGCACCACCATCACCCAGGACCTCAAGTGGGAGCCGACCATCCGCTCCCTCATCAAGAAGGCCCAGCAGAGGATGTACTTCCTGCGGCAGCTCAGGAAAGCCAAGCTGCCTCCATCACCGTGTGGTTCGCTGGAGCCACAGTCAGGGACAAACAGAGACTACAGCGCATTGTGCGCTCTGCAGAGGAAGTGATCGGCCGCAGCCTTCCATCGCTGCAGGACATGTACGTCGCCCGAGCTCGAGGCCGGGCTGGTCGTATCACAGCCGACCCCTCTCACCCTGCACATGGACTATTCCAACCACTCCCCTCAGTCAGGAGACTGCGGTCCATCAGGACTAGAACCTCCCGCCACAAGAACAGTTTCTTCCCCTCTGCTGTTGGACTCTTGAACACTTCTTAACCTGTCCCCCCGCCCTTTATAAAGTCACTTTACTGCCCATCATACGTCACTTTACTTCACTGTACTGCTGTCACCTTACATTGTGTGCACCATGTGCACTTGTATATTGTAAATAGTAACTGTAACTCTATTTTAAATTTATTTCTTAGAAGTGTTTTTTATTCTTTATTTTTTATTATCTCTTTCTGACTGTTGCACTGAGCCAAAGCAATTTCCAAGTCTGTGACTTCCTGTTACTTACGTGGAAATAAAAATTCTGATTCTGATGATTCTGATTAAGTGTCTTGCCGAAGGACACAATGGCAGTTTAGCACTTTACATGTTTATTACTCTCTTGTACTGTGGATTTTTGCACTTTATTTTAATTGTTGAAAAGTACGGTAAATGGCTGTAGCTCATTCTCAGAGGAGGTCTGGAAGGAAACCGCTGGAGACACGAGATATCTGCAGTTTTACACGGGCTCACACTGGCTTATGGAAATGAGCAAACCTGGCAACCGCAGATAAAAGATTGCAGTCTTTCTTCTACTCCATATCCTCGGCGAGTTCAAAGAGGAGAAGGAAGAAGACCTTAACAAGTGTAACAAGAGGTGACTGTATTCCTGTGTGGAAAATTCTATAGTGATTACCACAGCATTAGCAGCAGTGAGGCGATGGTCAGTCAGACTGAGTCATGAGGTAGTGTATTCATTTGTGCTGTTTTGTTTCATACAATGACATCAGTGTGTATTTATTTTGTTTATCCTATCCCACATCACAAAGGAAAATCAGAGCTAAAAGGTCAACCTGTTTTGCCCCTTTTGAGCATAAAGAGTCATTAACAAATTTAAACATTTCATTCATTTATTTACATTTCTCAACTTTTGTAGCTCAGAGAAAGTATATAGCTTCAAGATAAATAGATAATCAGTCTCAAGTAAAATATCTTAAAATGATCAGCTGAAGTAAAAGTTTAACCATTCTTTTAAAGAAGATTAAAAAGCTACAATTATGCCAGATGGATTTTTAAAACTTTATGAAGGCTAAAAGTACACTTTTGAAAACACTTCAATAAATTATTGACATTATTTTTTGTTTTTTATTTGTCTATTTGTATTTCTCTGTTTGCTTTAACCACCGGTCAGCCACTTCAGGTGCACTAGTTTAACCAAAACTAAAAGTATGTTTACTTCTCAGGATGTTTAAAAATGCTCACTTTTTCTTATAGTAATGCAAGTAAGTAGATAGATAGATACTTTATTGATCCCTGTAGGAGAATTTCAGGCGTCCAGTAGCAGCAAAAATAAATTCTGATAATTGATAATTCTAAAAAACTAATAATAGTATTAATCATCCACAGGCCTTCAGGTCACGGCAGCAAAGATAGAGTGGTCTCTGGGTGGAGCATGATGGGTCGCTGTAGAAGAGATGGAGTAGCCACTGGGTGGTGTTGGACAGGTCACAGCAGCAGAGATGGAGTAGCCTCTGGGTAGAGCAGGATGAGTCACAGCAGCAGAGGTGGAATAGCCTCTGGGTGGAGCAGGACAGGTCACAAGGTGGAGTAGCCGCTTGGTTTGGACCATTATTCTCTGCTCTTGTCCAAAGTAAAATGCTATATGCTTCATTAGCATTTAAAAAAAAGTCAGGCGTTTTCCAGCGCATTCAAAAGTCAATGTATTGCATACCTAAAACAGTTAACTGAAACAGAAACATCCCCAGTAGGTCTTTCTTTACTATTGACACTATATCTGACTGCCACTTTAAATTCCCACTTTTATTGTACATGTATATCCTGCATGTAACATGTTTGCACATTTCCTCCTTTTGCATAGTGGATAGCAGAGGTGTGGACTCGAGTCATGTGACTTGGACTCGAGTCAGACTCGAGTCATGATTTTGATGACTTTAGACTCGACTTGACCAAATATAAAAAGACTTGCAACTCGACTTGGACTTTAACATCAATGACTCTGACTTTCACTTGGACTTGCGCCAATTGACTTGTAAAGACTTGCGTAACCCGGGCCATTTTTACCTTTCTCCGCATCTCTCTTTCTATCTATGCCGTCTCTGAAGAAACAAAGCCTCGCGGTAGTTGTAGCGCTCGCGAGAGAGTTTGAACGTGAGTTCCCCGCAGTTCGCGCTGCAACACTTCCCTAAACAAGCGCACTGCATTCACCGGTGGGTGTGTTGTCGTAGGGGAGCTGGAAATGAGCGAGCTGCAGGTATTTATCGCGACCTAACGTCATATTTTGTTCTACAAACCGTAATTGATATGCTTTCACTACAGGCGCCTCATACAATTGAATCGACGCAGTTGTCACACTGTGTGCCGTGTTTTAAAGAGGAACTGGTGAGTCAAACTAGCGCTAGCCTGCGCTGCTCTGTTGGCTCTTTCTTATATTTTTCTGTGTGGGCGCCGAGGCCTATTATTATGAGTATGTTTTTGCTGTGCTCCTCCTGCTAAAGTTTGCATACATTAGATAATTGTTTTGATTATGTGCACTAAGCTAGATTAATATTTGCACTATTGTTTATGGTGCATTGATATGAGAATCAGTGCTTTGACTGATTGAATTAATTTATATGAGACATTTTATTATGTAATGATATATTGGTAATTATGAGATATTACTAATGCTGGTCCAGTTCATACAGGCCAGGTTCCTTCCCCTCCATTGGTCATTGGTCCCTTCAGTCCTTTGACCCCCCCCCCCCCCCCCTTTTTTTTTTGATGGCGAGCTGCCCCAGGTCCAAAGCCTAGACCCCTCATACTACCCCTATCCTACAGTAGGACATTTGGAACAATAACCACTACGGACATTAAACTGATTATATAGATACAGGTCCTAGCCCAATACTCATATTCATATATGCTGCACTTGCTACTTCCCATTAAAAACCCCAAAGATAAAAAGTATGTTGACACGGACTGCTCTGACTTTATGTGTGGTCTGTGCATGTGTAACTGAGCCTGCATCTGGCACAACATCCAATTAGATCACGTAGATAGTTTTGATTTACCAGCAGCCAACGACATGGAACAAACTGTTAGTCCATGGGTCAGAGACCAACGAGAATGCACCAGCAAAATGATTCCTAACATTATTTTGTTTGCCTACAAAAGTACGTGGAGACCAACAAGAAACAAATCGCGGTCAAAAAGACTCGAGAGGACTCGAAAGTCAAACCGTAGGACTTGGGACTGACTTGAGATTTGTTGGCCTTTGACTTGGACTCGACTCGGGACTTGCCTGTCTTGACTCGTGACTTGACTCGGGACTTGAGGGCAATGAATTGAGACTGTATTGTGACTTGCTAAACAATGACTTTGTCCCACCTCTGGTGGATAGTGTTCTATCCATGCCAAACGTGACATGTAAATTTCTCCTTGTGATATCTTATCTTCACATCATTAATTATTGCTTAGGTCAGCAATAACGTCATTAATTATTGCTTAGGTCAGCTTAGGTGTCATAGGCAGGAAGATTCTGGCAACAAAAGTTGGATTGTAATGATTTTATTAGACCACTAAATGTGCTTGTTACATTATTACGAGCCACAAGGTGGTGGTGTCTAGGTGTGTGGCTCAATAACAAAATTAAAACCGGGTGTGGAACAGAGACGGGAGGCGGAGGTCCAAAAAGTAAAAGGTTTATTAAAAGAGGTGCAAAAGAACCACTGTTCAATCACAAAACAAAATGCTCCAAAAGAGGTGAGGTGCAGCGACAAGACCCACTGGTCCAACGGACGGTCAAAGTTGTAGAGAGAGACAGCCTGGTCTCGATCCCGGCCCTTTATACCTCCCAGCAGATTACCCACAGGTGTGAGTGGGACGTCACTCAGCTGGAGGTGGGAGGGTCTGAGAGGTGGAGGCAAGGAGAAACAAAATACCAAAACCAAAAGGACTTTGTCCGTAACACCTCCCCCCATAAAAACTAAGCTCTACTCCTCTTTAACAGGAAAACACAGGTTCTTCTGTAAAACACAAACTAATTCGCAAAGTGGGAAAGGATATGGGTGCCACCACCACCACCCAAGTGGTAATGCAAGTCCCCTGTGACGCCAAGAGGCCTCAGCCACAACATGGTCCTTTCCACTCCAGTGCTGATACGAACGGTGTAGTCTACAGTCAGCAGCGCCCCCTGCAGCAGCCGTTGATCCGGGTTGGACATCAGGGCCAGGGAAACCAGGGTGTTGTGGTCTGAAAAGAAAGTTACCGGGACACAAGGCGACCCAACAAAAAATGTAGGCGCTGCAGAGCCAGCAGCATTGCCAACGCCATGCCCATGAAGGACATAAACCGAAACACACCAGGGTCAAACTGTCTGATTTCGGTAGAGACCTCGTCAAGCAGTTTGGTTGGTCCAGGTATGCCGCAACTTAACACAAGTCCAGCCAGACTGAACTTGCGACCAGCTTTCTTATCTGTGGGTGGAGGGGACACAGAAGTGATTAACTCTGGCTTCTCAATGTAAACCGTGGTGTTATCAGTCCGTCCACACGAGGGCGCACCAACACCTGCAAAATCAGGAGCAAGCACAGAATTACCAACGTCACTCTGCCACCCTCTTTCAGACTGAGCGTGGGTCAAAACGCTCATGGGACACACTTTTCCACCTGCACTGTCATCCCACATGATGGACTCCACCCCATCAATTGAAGACTGGTCACGAACAGCTATAGGGAAAGCTCCAACTACGTGCGCGGGACTAACGTAAGCACTATGAGCCTTGGGCCACGACTCATAGAACCGCAAAATAGCACCTTTCACACAGTCATAGTCCAACATGTCTGAGACTGCCAAAGATGCACACGCTTCAGACGCCCTGCCACTTAGGTTGCACTGCAGAAGGATTGCCCACACATCCCTAGGCCAGTGTAATGCCCCTGCAATGCGCTCAAAAACACAAAAATAGGACTCAACCTCAGTCTCACGGAAAGTTGGAACAAGGTGGATGTTTTTAGTCACGTCAAACTCAGGCGCACTGACCACAGGTGACGAGGAAACTGGACTGCGACCCGCTGATTGCAACTCCAATTGCCGCATCCTAAGCGCAGCGTCAGCCTCTATCTTTTTAAAGGCCACTTCGCGAGCAGTAACAGCCTCCGCTTCAATACGCTTTAATGCAATCTCACGCTTTAGCTGAAACTCACGCTCTTCCTTCTCCCTCTCGTACTTTAAACGAGCAATGCGCACATCCACGAGCACATCACGGGGAGAACGAACCAGGCTCAGAGACTTCACCTCAGTCTCTTCAAACGGCGCAGAAGGAGAGCCCACCTGTGGCTGCTCCACGCGCTCTACACCAGGACGCACGGGGGACATCACTGTATCTCCCGCCGTCACCCGTTCAAGCAAATCCATTTCGCTACACAAAGTCAACGCCACTTTCATTGGTTCAGCCACCAAGGCTTCCAAAACAAATGTAGCCATCACTCACCGGACGTAAAGTAATCACGGATCCTGATCACAGCTGATCCCACTCACAGCTGACCACACCTGCTGCTGCTCTCCACAACTACACGCCTCCTGGGATGTGCCAAGTACGCGCCCGCACACAGCTGCGCTCAAAACTTACGCACACCCACGCACACTCACGGGAAAAAAAAAAGTTATGCAGGGTGCATTAAAGACAATCAAATCCTGTAGTTAAACAAGAATTGAACCCAGACTCCTACTCAGGAACAACTAGACCTAGATATCTTCTGGGACTTGCCGGGCTCGAGGCGTGCAGCCCCCGTCAGAGAATCCACTCCGCCCAGGATTCGTCCCGAAAATAATAAACTAAAACAAAAAACGGATGCCCGAAGGAATGGCGAATAAATCAACCAAGCTGGACACCCCCCCTAGTCTAGCTGGGTCAATTCAGATCACAATGCCAAATGCACGCACACACACACGACTCACCAAGAGCGCACAGATGACTCCCGTGCACCCACCGCAGTTCCACAGGATCCCGGACGAGCCCCCAACTATTACGAGCCACAAGGTGGTGGTGTCGAGGAGTGTGGCTCAATAACAAAGTTAAAACCGGGTGTGGAACAGAGACGGGAGGCGGAGGTCCAAAAAGTAAAAGGTTTATTAAAAGAAGTGCAAAAGAACCACTGTTCAATCACAAAACAAAATGCTCCAAAAGAGGTGAGGTGCAGCGACAAGACCCACTGGTCCAACGGACGGTCGAAGTTGCAGAGAGAGACAGCCTGGTCTCGATCCCGGCCCTTTATACCTCCCAGCAGATTACCCACAGGTGTGAGTCGGACGTCACTCAGCTGGAGGTGGGAGGGTCTGAGAGGTGGAGGCAAGGAGAAACAAAATACCAAAACCAAAAGGACTTTGTCCGTAACATACATACAGTCTCATCAAACTGTAAAATGCTTTTTGTCTCTTGCTTCTGCTTTGGGATTCTACCTACAAATCATACCATCATGTCTTGTTTGAGTAAAGCCATCTGAACCTTAACCCTCTAGGCGCCACGGTCGACTTAAGTCGACAAGCTGCGCTACTGTTAAAAACGGCCGAGTGTGACCAACTGAGTGTCAAAATTCATTCATACTCCCTGCCACTAGTTGGCAGACATGTCAGACTACCTTCCTGGCCCCAAAAAACGTCATGCTCCCATACAAAATATTCGAGCAAGACCGCGTTGAACCAGTGCAGAAATCATTGTGAAGCGATGCAGCTGCGAGGGCAGCCTGCGAGTGTTATAGCGCACCAAACACTAACTTTAGACAAGAGAGTCTGGCTGCAGACTCCCCCCCCCTCGCAGACCTCCCTGTTCAGCCCCAGTCACGTGACCTCCATCAGGAGCCCCTGTTACGTCACTTCCGCCAGTGTACCGCCTGTCGGAAAATTTTATAAGAAGTCACGTCATTTCTTTTACTGGACAGTGCTACACGTGCGACGATCTGCGGTCACGGTAAGATGCTTGTGTTACGTGTTTTGTGATTCAGTTACTGCAGATACAGATTAGTTATTGTCGGCTACACTTGTCTTTCTACGACAACATAACGCTTAGCTTTATACGTTTAACAGTAACTCAAAGCTACAACAGTGTATCAGTTAAGTGAGTGCTCTTCATTATTGCCCACCGTTCTCTCCGAATAAAAAACACAAATATTAGCGTTAACGTTTCCCCTCTTGCGTTGATGCATTGCTAACATGATTGTAAACCATTAATGCTTATGGTTTAACATCCATTAGGCACAAAGGCACTATCGCTATGTACAATTAACGCAGTTTGAACTCCGTATTGATGACGTTGCAACGCTTTAATGCTTAACGTTCATATTGTGTCTTTGCAGATGCACAAATCAATCGTAAAAGGAGAGTTTCTTGTGGAGCGGTGCACAACCTGTTGCACCCTCTTTCACTGCCCCATATGTCCAATGGTGAAACCCCAAAAGTTACATAAAATGCAGATACACTTGCAGTCGCATTTAAGGCAGGCAATTGTTTACAAAGGTAAGATTGTTTTGAATTTTTTACAATAATAAATATAATCAATAATTGATTGTACTGTATGTTAATAACATAATATAGCAGCTATCCATTCTATTTATTTTACAGACTATTTGAAAGAGCCATCAAGTCACTGTCTTTGTCATGAATACTTTTACTTTTTATGTCTGACAAAGCTAAAGATGCGCCAGATCTAAAGTACATGATTGCCAACACCGTTGTATGTTGGGAGAGCTGCTGACTTCGACTGGGATAATGTCGGCGGTGAAGGAATACTTTGGGAGTTCTCCTCAATCCCCCCGTCACTCCCCTCCAAGGAGGCAGAGGCTGAGGAATGCTGGGGCGGATACTTCCATCTCCCTGGCTGAGGTCACCAAGGTGGTTTTTGGGGGGGGGGGGGGGGGGGGCGGGTGGCAGCCTCCATGGTGGACAAGGCACAGGGATGGATGAGATCCGTCCTGATTATCTTTTTAAAAAAAAAGTCCTCGATGTTGTAGGACTGTCTTGGCTGACACGGCTCGCAACACGCGTGGCGATCGGGGCGTTGCCAATGAGTGGCAGACCGGGGTGGTGGTCCCTCTCTACAAGAAGGGGATTGGAGGGTGTGTTCCCAATTATTCGTTGGATTCACACTCTCCGCTCCCCGGTAAGGTCCTCTCCAAGTTACTGGATAGGAGCTACGGCCGATGGTTTTGTAAAGCCTAAAATAACAACAGCGGCCATCTCAGAGGAAGGTGTTGAATTGTGTTTAATTTTCAACATTGGTTGTCATGATCATTATTTAACACTAGAACTAGACAGTCAATTTGACGGCTGTTAGTTTTGAAAGTGTAATTACGCAGCTTTTTCTGTTTCATGTCATTACTTTTTATGAAATTATCTTTACATGGACTAGAGAAGTAGCGAAGAGCAAGCTAGATAGTAACCATAGCAACATACTGTTAACTTGCTACGAGATAGCAATAGCCTTTCAACATTTTTTTCAAGTTATATTCACCAGTTTTAGCACTTATAAACCCTTTATTGTTCACTCTTTGAAGGATGCAAAGTATTTATTCTTATTTAATTTTCTTAGAGGAAGGAGCACTAATACATTTTATTTAGTTTTTTTGTCTGTTTTTTGAATCCCCTAGTTTTTATAGGAAAGTGGTTGAGAAGCAGTTTGATGGTAAAAGTACCTGAAACCAAATGATAGAGTTGCTCCAATGAGGAAGATTTCAGTTTGAAGCATGCTTTAACTAGACTCAAAAAATGTGAAAGGACGAAGCAGTGGACGAAGCAGTGAAAAGGACGGCTCTAGAAGTTCTCATAGTTTCATACTTAAGGGAGTCCCAGTGTTAAGAATAAATTTGCGACAGATGTTGTAATATGGTTCAACACTTAAAAAGGAAACACCTTTCATAACGTCCAACTCTATATGTGCTCAACATAATGTCATGTTATACTAACTCTAGAAATATAATTTTCTTTCAGAACACTGTATTGGACTTTGGCAAAATCATCATTTACACCAGTAACCTGCGCATCATTCGAGCTCCTCCCAGAAAGCCTGAAGCAGAGCAACACCACGGAGCCCACGCTGAGGAGCCGGACATACCACCACAAGACAGGCCCACGAAGGAGAGGCCCACGAGGGAGAGGCCCACAAGGGAGAAGCCCACAAGGGAGAGGCCCACGAGGGACACATCCCCGAAGGACAGACCCTCCAAGGACGCATCCCCGAAGGACAGACCCTCCAAGGACGCATCCCCGAAGGACAGACCCCCCAAGGACAGGCCCACAAAGGACAAGCCTCCAAAAGCCAAAGAGAGAGGGAGCCGGAGGAGGAGAGCGGCCAGCACCCAGCCATCTGAGGAGAGGGGGGAGAGGCAGCGGAAACACGCAGAGGACAAGGTAATGGGCCCTGGACTAATGGACCTCCAGAGTCTGTGAGTTTAATGTCCAGTGTGCATCTTTACTGACCATTTCAACATCACTGTGTCCTTCAGCTGCTCTTATACTGATGCATTTTAAAAAACAAGCCACAGGAATGATTTTCTGTCAGCAGCTTATGTGCTAACTTATCGAAAGCACTTTGAATATCGTCATTAGGACTAATACATTTAGGCACCCCAGCTTTAATGCACATATATTATCCACTGATCATTTCCTTTCCACACAAACTCTATGACCACCATAAAATAAGTGCAATTAACTAAAAACCAGTGGGGGGGGACGTGCGCTGACATGCTTGCAATACCACCCCGGGCCGATGGGGGTGGACCCAGAATAAGAATTAGCCAATGCTAACAAATAGCATCTTCTTACCTCTCGAAAACACCTTTACAGGATGGTCCAAAAGTTGGCTCTTGGCCCAAAGCTCCGTTCCACATGTGTGTCAATGCTGAGGGGAGTGATTTTTTTTGGACCACTCTAGTTTACTCGCTGTGAATTTTTTAAGTCACTCGTTTAAAATTATTGTGTTAACTCACGTTAATTACATTTTTCATTAATGCGTAAAAAAAAAAAATTGATGCAATAACGCATGTCCGAATGACCCGCCCATTTATCCATAATATCACTCAGAATGCTGCGTGTGAGATGGCATCAGAGCAGGTAGGCCCTCTGGGAATTCAAGTTTTCAAAGAATACGCGCATCACTGCAGGCTGTTATTTACTATGGACTGAGGTCCGCCTCCTCCGCGGCCGCTCTGGTTGTGAACTCGCTGAATTAAAGCTTTGGTACGTAAATTTCCCCCTTTCATTAACTGCTCATTTTGATTGTGCCCAAAGTAAAAGGTTGTGAGCAAATCCAACAAATGTAAGTACATTTGGTATGAATGACAATGTGTCATTACATTTGATAATCTCATTTAACTTCAATTGAAGTGGATTTGAAATAGAATGTTAAAAATGCGATTAATCGTAATTTAACTCACCTTTAACGTGCGATTAATCAACTAAAAAAAATTAATCGTTTGACAGCCCTAGTTTTTTCACATTTTCCAGCCCCCACTGCCATTTTGAATCACTCCATGAGAGCACAATTTTTGGCCCATTAGTTAGAACGGCGGAGATAGGCGTGACTACGTCTGTTAATATATACGGTCTATGCTAAAAACATTTGTAGTGATGCATTCAATGACAGTCAATTTTCAATGGCATACCAAAAATCTAAGAATCATGCTTTTAAAATTGGCTTCCGTTTGTGTTTAGTGATCTACATTTGATATGGTAATCTTTCTGGCTGTTTTTGTTGAATAAGAAAAGTTTTAAAAATGCATATATTTCTTTTTTAATGAATGTATTGTATTTTCTTTTGTAACATTACTGCACATATAGCCTTTTCTACACAGTGTACTATCCCTTGGAAGAATATTAAAATGAGATTACACCATTACATTTTGTTCAAGAAGAGTACGCTGTCTTTGCTGCTGCTTATTTCCCATAGTTCCCTAGTGTCCCGTATTGCACACGGACCTGATTGTGCCTGTACTCGTTAGACACCGCAGTGCCATTGTCCGTGTATTATCTGTCAACTATCCTGATGAGTCCACAGTTTTTCCACTATGTCCTTGCAGCTTAAAGTGTATTCCACCTCTTTGCTATTACTTCCCCCTTGTACCGCCCCAACACACCTCAGGAATTATGGGATTTCAGTGTCCTGCAGCATCTTTTAATACATTATTCTATACTAGGAGAAAGTTAGTGCCTTTTTCACTATGTCTCCTCACTGCTGTTTGTTGGGCTTTTTATTGTTATTTTACAGTAATATACTTATTTTCTCCTGTTTGGACTCTTTAAAACGACACCAACCTGCATTCCTGTAACATTACTCTGCATCATAGCAGGTAGAAATGAGATAAAAATCAGTTAAGAAACAGGAAAAACAGAAAAAATTCCGGGTATATGTTTTATCTTGTGGTCACAAAACATTAGTTTTATATACATTTAATAGGGAACACTTGGAAGAGTTTGGTAGCTTCTAGCGGGAGCTACCTTTTGGTCCTACACAGTATACAGAGGAGGCTGCGTTTGTGCTCCCGTTTGTGCTCCCGTTTGTGCTCCGTTTGGATGACAGAGCGCACGGACTAAGACCAGACAGGTACATATTAACTAGTCTAAGGTAAGGTAAGAACATATGTCAGTATGTAAAAACGGTAAACTATTCCTTTAATCATTGTCCTGGTCCCATCTTGGTCCCCTCCTGGTCCCATCCTGGTCCGCTCCTGGTCCCATCTTGGTCTCATCTTGGTCTCATCCTGGTTCCATCTTGGTCCCATCCTGGTCCTGTGTCACTCCCAACCTTCTCCCCTTTTACCTGGCCTTCACCAAACTTAATTCTTGTCATAAATAACTTGTTTTTCTTCTGCGTCTGGGTCCACCAGTTCTTTATCATAACAGCATCTTGTATGGATGCTGTTATGACCTTATCAGTCTTCATCTTATTAGACAAATAAAATGCATGGGGTGGTCCTCTCTTCACTTTTTAATTGGTCTAGTTTCATGGACGTTATTAAACAATTATTATGTTTGGTTTGAAAGTCAGGTACCCAATTTTAAGAGGTTGCATTTAACTAATTAAAATAAGTCCTCAGACCAAAAGCAGATTCAAATGCGTAGGATTTTACTACCCCATTCCTAGCCAACTCCTTGTCTTGTAGAATAGATGTCCAGTCAGCTGTTTCCATTGTAAATCAATAAGTTATGAGCAGATTGCTGTCTACTTCCACATTAGCCTGCCATACAGAGCCCTAAATTAACTCCTCATGAGGGCCACTTTGTTCTGGTACTGTTTTATTGCTCCTCGGTCAAAGACGTTATAGCATTGGCTGGTTGTACAGTTATATTGAATAGAATAATAGATGTTGCTATTTTACAAATGCAATGTATGTTTACACATCCAGTGTTGTTGTGTCCTTGAACAAGAAATTCAAAATGGTTAAATGTTTTCTGTCCTCAAGGAAGTCAGAAATCTTGGTTTTCCTCCCACATCAAGCTAGCCCATACCCATACATTATCTGAACCCTAACCTGAACCTGATTGTAACTCTTAATCACATATTCAAAGAAGGAAATAGCGCTGTGACCTGGGACAAAATACAAATATTTTAGTGAGTCCCTATAAAAAGTGGTCAGAATAGTAGGTTTAAGTAGTAAAAATGTTTGTATACTTATTTCTATTAATATTTGTAAATTTTTCAAGTTAAATAGTTCTCACCGCTTTAGATGGACTTACAAAGGTGGCTTCTGCCCTGTTTTCAGATAAAAAGCAGGCAGCGGCGATAAAGTTAACCATTAACCATTAACCAAATAAGTCCTGTGTGTTTATGTTATCTTTCTTTTCCTCGGCGTGAGAGACCGGCATGCTGTGTCTGGGAACAGGAGATTCCAGCAGGCTGGGAGAGCTGTTCCTGCATGCTTCTTGTCGCTCTGTCACTTTTGTTTTTTAAATTGAATATTCAGACGCGGAAAAGAGGTTGGCAGACCTCTCGGACAGTCCTTGGAACCAGTTTGACAAGAATAAGGTAAGCAGACGCCTTTTCATATATAAAGTCTGTATAATTGGATATTAGCTAAATTTTGGTCTGTTTTTTGGGGTCTGTCAAAACTCTCTAAATTGTATTTGAAGAAGTCTCGGGGTTAGAATCCCTTTGAGAAGAAGATAAAGTGTAGGATCCTTAGTGAAACCATGGTATAAAAGTAAAAGCAATTTAAAAAAGGGAAACGTGTTAAAGAGGCCTTTGTTACAAAAGCTTTGAAATTGACGAATTTCAGGCTGATAAATGACAAAAGTAAAGAAGCAGCAATATTTTCAGTGATCACGGTTTAAATTACATACAGAAAAAGGGAGTTTTTTTGTTTTTTTTGTTTGTTTTTTTTTTTGGCGTGAACAGAGTTCACCGGAGAATGCCGAGTTTTATCTACAGTTAAGCTATGAGAGGGTTGTATATCCAACAGTTATTTTTGTTTTTTAGAAAGAGATTTTGAGTTTAAACTAGTTTGCTACCTCGATAAAATAGAAGCGTAAGGGAAATTAAACACTAAGAGTGCCTTTTGTTACAAGTGTGGAAATTGATCACTTCTAGACTTGGATAACAAAAGTATAAACTACAACATCAGTTATATTTGCTTAAAAGTAATCTTGAAAGTTATTCTGATAAGGAATTCTTACTGCTGTATGTCTGTGTGTGTGCGTCTCTCTCTCTCTCATGCTGCGTTGCCAGGGTAACCGCCCCCACCCTCGCGGCTCTGCTTTCTCTCTGCTCTTCTGCTCTGATTTAAAGGGGACCTACTGCTTGTAGGATTTCTGGCTTTTCATAGTTGTTATTCCGTTAAATTTGCGAAATTTGCCATTTGAACATTGTGTTATGACACAGTTAAACGTTTTTAAACACCATTTAGTAAAAATAAGTTTTGAATTAGTATGTTTTTTGAAACCCAAAAATTAGTGCTAAAGCTGTGCAATTTTTTTAGATCTAACATATTTCTAGATTCCATTCTTTTAAATCTGCTGCTTATTTCTTAACTGTTTGTGAGTTGTGTTTGTTTTTATGTTTTTTTTTTAGTTACAAAAGCCGTTTTTCAAACATTTAAATTGGAATCTGTGTTAAAAGTTATTATTGATTATAGACTTCGTCTAAAAAAGAAAGAGGGAATTAGTATTATTAAGTTAAACTTCACCCCAATTCACATTCAAGTGGTGACTTTTGTTTTGACTACACGCCTGACCTTGTTGCTCCTCCTGCTGATGCACACAGCAGAGGAGACTGGCTCTAAAATGTGCTCCAATTCATATTGACTTCATTTGAAAATGCTGCAATTATTTTAAATTAGTAGAATATATGCTGAGATAAATGTTCAAGATAATTAAAAACACATAGTACAAAAGTACATATTACATATTTTAAAGTTTAAAGGTTTTTTGAGATTTGAGTCTTGTTTTTTATCAAG